TGAGCCAATGCTAGAGGGTCGGAGAGAGCTGCGTCCGCCCCCTTGCGCTTCCCCTCCCCCGCAGCAGCAGCCGCAGCAGCAGCGGCGGCAGCCTGTTGGTTGCCGCGCCTTGACGCTCATTCATGGATGGCTTCAGCATGCCCTCTACCCTTTTCGCGGAGCTGATCTCCATCAGCAACTACAAAGGACAACTTACTACCAGCTGCCTTGGTGGTACCCTTCTTTAACAGCCAGGAGGTTAGCAGTATCCCGCGGTTATACTTCTTCCTGTGCTGCCATACTACCCTTGTATCCCCGCGGACGTGGATTTTGCGGTCTTCAAGCATGAGACTGCAACGAGCCATGGCCAGGCCCGAGTCGGCACGGCCGTCGATGTTGGAGTCTAGGGCTGAGGACCTCGAGAGTGGTGTCCTCTGTATGTAATTCGACCAAGCGGAGTCGATTGCCGTGGAGAATGAGGCATCAGTCGTCGATGTTCATGGTGAAACAGGATGCGCGGCACCGCTTCTCTTGAAAAAATGAATAGAAGAATTTTTTTTTTCGTATTTTTTTTCTTTCGGTTGGTCTCGCCGAAACGGTTCTAGAACCGGTCTCCTTTTCCCCTACCGACAGAAGCTCCAACATCTGCAGCATTCTCCCCCATTCGCCGGAAGGCCCCCGTGGTATGCTGCATCTCCCAATTTGATAATCGTACACTCCCAAGATCCAACAGTCATCGTGTCAGCAGCTAGCTGACTCAAACCGTGTATGTGTGTACGTGTCCCAATTTGATAATCGTACACTCCCAAGATCCAACAGGCATCGTGTCAGCAGCTAGCAGACTCAAACCGTTTGTGCGTGTGCACGGGACCGTGTGGTTTCGGACGAGGTGAACCCGCGCGCGATTTGCGGGCAAATACAAAAAAACGTTTCGGATCCCTGGAGCCTAACATACATGTTCAGTCGTGGTGCATCACGTAACTTCTTCTTGCAGGACTTCGGGTGTGACGAAGCAGTTGCTGTCCGGGTGAGTGTTGCCTTTTTACCTGGTGGTCTCATCCTCTCCTTGCTCGGTACCCACACCATCCCCTAGCCCTCCATGTTCAACCAACCGTGCGTGTTTTGCTCGTCACGTTTGCTTCAGGGGGTCGAAGGTTATGTGCGCCCTTTTCTTCCACGTTTCAGCAGAGGTTAGGTGCTCTCTTTCAGTAAAATAGCAACTGGTCTTTGAGGTATCAAACACTGCGATGTGTTTCCTGTCACTGTGAGGAAGTTTACCAATGCCACAGCATTCCGGTGTGTTTCGCTCCGACATGTCTCCCGTTCGAACTGTGGAGGTCAGGGTATGGAGATTCAGGGAGCACAGATACACGTACATAAAGAGTAGGACCTGAGGGAATACGTGATCATAGATTACTGTTCTCCGAGGGTCCACAACTCTTGGGATTCCCAACGGCTGCGAAGAGTTGATGGATCTTTAGGAGAATAGGAAAATGGGTCCACCAAGGCTCGCCCACTCTCCGCACCACCCTAGCTTGAATGAGTTCGCTCGGTCACGCTTGGCACTCCTCGCCACATTGTACCAAAGGAAATAGCCAACCTCCGGTCGCAGGACAAAGCCACCACAACCCCGGACTCTCCGCTCACCCAGAGTAGAGGGCTCCATAGAACGGGCAGATTTGTGCAGAGGTGATCAAATCTTGTGTGGTGTTGGATGTTTTGCTACTCGACCGGGCCCACAAGAAAACACTGTGCGGATCAACGTACTCGTTTACATGCAGCTTGGAGCCTTGTTGGTGAAGAGACTCCTTTTTCCTCGATTTTTTGTATCTCCTTGCTCAAAGGTTGAAATTGCATCCTCATAGATAGAGTAGTGCCTATTTTTTTTCTTTTCTTATTTTTTCTCCCATCATTGGACTCTATCGTCTGCCCCTCTGGCCCCTATCCTCCACTTCTACTAGCTAGACGCCCCAACCGTGCCTGTGTAGGTCCGGCCGATTAGAAAAACACACAATATTTCGAACGGAAACAACCTCCCCTGCACAACTTTGTCGGGTCAACCCACCACTATTTGGGGAAGAAACTCACCACGATGCTATGACACTAGTAATTATTGCAATGCTGCAGTGTTTGACCCGACAGGCGTGAAATCGCTTGTTTAAAGCTCTAGAAGTGGATGTAACTGTCGACACTACAGGACGGCACTGTTCGCGTTCGTTCGGGGGATGTATGGTTCTGCATCATTCGATTTGCCGTTGTGCAGAGTTGAAACGATCCTCACGGCGTAAAAGGTGGAGTTTGAAGTTTATCTTCACTAGTTTCAATCAATACAGTGTGAGCGCAAGATAACCACGAAGAGTGTGACCAAAACATGGAGTGTAACAGAGGGATCAGCGAGGTCTGGAAATATGCGATAAAAGGGATGTGTGTACGTGTAATGTACGTTTGTGCACTGTAAAATGGAACTAGAACAGCTTGCCGCCCATACTCTCCGGAATATGTTGAAGTAGTCGAACATCCTTGGAACTTTTCCGGGCAAGAGTGACGAGCAGAGCACGGTCGGACAGTTTTTGTTCAAAAGAAACGTTTCAAAACATCACCTGGCCAAAGTTTTCACTGCAATATGTGCTTGCCAATCGTACATGCCCATCCGAGCAGGTACCTGACGAACAGACCATGTCGCTTCTCGGCGCGGCATACGAATTCTTCTTGCGCTCCTCTCAGTTCATGTGCATATACGACAGGAGAGAGAACAGGTTTGTCGAGATGAACCAGCGCATGCGAGACCGAATGCATGGTACGCCAACCGACGATATCAGCGTGATTGCTGATTCTGAGGCGGAGACGTACATCACGGTGTCGGGAATCCCCTGCAAGTGTAGGGTGGTTCTTGCCCTGGATGAAGACCTGTGCGTGATGGAGATGTTCCCGGCCCACACCAAGAAATGGACGCAGTCGTCAGACCTCATCCAGCTCACCGATCTCGCCTCCGACGGCGTGTGGGAATGGTTCCCGTCTGTTAATTTCGAGTATATGAGCAAGCGCTTCTGGTCTATCCTGGGATACGATCAGCACGATATGGACGAGACTCCGCTGGCCTGGATGGACTGCTTGAACCCCGATGACAAGGAAGCCGTGCTGGCTATGTTCGAGGCTCACATGAAGAGCGGCGGAGCGTCCCCGTACCACAGTCGCGTGAGGTACACTCATAAAGAAGGACACGAGGTCGTCATTTTGTGCAGGGGCAGCATCGTAGACTGGTTGCCCGATGGCACACCGTGGAGAATGCTCGGGACACACACGGACGTGACATCCATCGTCAAGAAGGATGCTGTCGAGGCTAAGTCCGTCTTTATCGCCAGGATGTCGCACGAGATTCGGTCGCCCATTTGCACGATTTTGAACGAGTGCGAGCTCCTCGGGATGAACGCGAGAACCCGGGTCATACTGGACACATGCAATCAGCTGATAACCATCACAGACAACATCCTAAGCCTGGGGTTGTCGAAAGAGCCCACTCTCAGGCTCGTATTGCAAGAAACGGACGTGTACGCTCTCCTCCAGAGGTGCTCCAGGAGGCACAGGCTGGAGGCGGGAAAGAAGAACATACGTATAAGGGTGTCCACGGAGGTCATGCCAGACTCGCTTCTTGTCGACACGGGAAAGTATAACCAGATCCTTGACAATCTGGTTACAAACGCCATCAAGTACTCGGACGAGGGAACCATCAACATCGACGCCGAGTACGACACCGACACATCTAAGCTCGAGTTGAGGGTGTCGGACAATGGTAAGGGGATACCCGCCAACATGACCACGGCAGTGTTCGAGGAATTTGTTCAGGGGGACAAGACGATGAGTGGGGCCGGGATAGGACTCGCCCTTGCTAGGAAATATTCCAAGATCATGGGGGGAGACGTGTGCATCGAGCGTTCCGAGGTGGACCACGGTACAACCATGCTTTTCACGAGCATCCTGAAAGAACCGGAATCCCCATCACAATCGACCAAGTGTTTTGACATCCTCTTGGTAGACGACATGGCTACAAACAGAGCGATTCTGCAGCGTCGGCTGCACAGCCTGAGCACGTTGGGCATGAATCCCTCGGCGATCCTCGAGGCGGTGGATGGGCAGGAGGCGGTGGATATGTTTGTGCAGAGGAAGGGAGACTTTTAGCTCATTCTGATGGACTGTCTGATGCCAATCTTGAACGGGTTTGACGCTACCGTGGCCGTTCACAAGAGTGAGACAGGCTTGGCCTGGAGCCTGTGCCCGTCGTGGCAGTCACCGCAAGCGTGAGCCCCGATGTTCGTGAAAAGTGCTTTAAGAGCGGAATGACGAACGTGGTGACTAAACCATACTCGGAGGACGAACTCTTGGCGTCCATAAGGTCGTGCATGAAGAAATAGCCCGAAACAAAACTCGAAGCCCGTAGCTTCATCTATTTGTGTCTACACTGGAAAATATGGGGTCGCATGTGATGACTTCGTGCTTGACCGGGTAGGTTGGGCCATCTAGGATGACCCCTTTTCACGTGCTTCGAGCGACAGCACTTATTTCAATTATTCAAACCGCCGACTTGAGCGTTCAACGGGGGGCGGCACAGCGCGGACTAGCTCAACAACTATAGTCTTCCCGCCATGTGGTTTTGCGGTAGGCGATAGAAACCAGATCCTTGACAATCTGGTTACAAACGCCATCAAGTACTCGGACGAGGGAACCATCAACATCGACGCCGAGTACGACACCGACACATCTAAGCTCGAGTTGAGGGTGTCGGACAATGGTAAGGGGATACCCGCCAACATGACCACGGCAGTGTTCGAGGAATTTGTTCAGGGGGACAAGACGATGAGTGGGGCCGGGATAGGACTCGCCCTTGCTAGGAAATATTCCAAGATCATGGGGGGAGACGTGTGCATCGAGCGTTCCGAGGTGGACCACGGCACCACCATACTTTTCACGAGCATCCTGAGAGAACCGGAATCCCCACCACAATCGAGCAAGTGTTTTGACATCCTCTTGGTAGACGACATGGCTACAAACAGAGCGATTCTGCAGCGTCGGCTGCACAGCCTGAGCACGTTGGGCATGAATCCCTCGGCGATCCTCGAGGCGGTGGATGGGCAGGAGGCGGTGGATATGTTTGTGCAGAGGAAGGGAGACTTTCAGCTCATTCTCATGGACTGTCTGATGCCCATCTTGGACGGGTTCGACGCTACCGTGGCCATACACAAGGAGTGCAAAAGGCTTGGCCTGGAGCCTGTGCCCGTCGTGGCAGTCACCGCAAGCGTGAGCCCCGATGTTCATGAAAAGTGCTTTAAGAGCGGAATGGCGAACGTGGTGACTAAACCATACTCGGAGGACGAACTCTTGGCGTCCATAAGGTCGTGCATGAAGAAATAGCCCGAAACAAAACTTGAAGCCCGTGGCTTCATCTATTTGTGTCTGCACTGGAAAATATGGGGTCGCATGTGATGATTTCGTGCTTGACCGGGTAGGTTGGGCCATCTAGGATGACCCCTCTTCACGTGCTTCGAGCGACAGTTCTTATTTCAATTCTTTAAGCCGCTGACTTGAGTGTTCAACGGGGGGCGGCACAGCGCGGACTAGCTCAACAACTATAGTCTTCCCGCCATGTGGTTTTGCGGTAGGCGATAGACACTGTGAATGCGTCGGATGAGTGTGTGCAGTAGGGCACCGCCCATTATCCACCATGTTAATCGATGTAACCGTCGTTTCATACGTAGGCGGTGTTCAAGGCCACGTGGGTGTTGTTGTTGAATTTCGTCTGTTGGTGTTCTTTAGCAACCCCTCTGTCGAAGTCCTCTCGCCCTGGTACCGGCGTGTTGGTGGTACACAGGGCGACTTCGCGCTAGAGTTATGTTTGTTGATCTGAGGCTGGTAATGATAAACGTTTCAAGGTACGCCTGACACGTCTAAGTCCTCCCGGTGACTGCATCACCCCCCCCATTTCACGCTATTTGGGAAAGGGGGTATGCGTTTTGCGCACCTCCCCCTGCCGGTACAACTCGTCAGCCATTGGGGCCATGTACAGGGGCTCCACTCCCCGCATGGGGTGCCCACGCGAGTGTGCTTGTTAACCTCAACCTCCTCCTCCATCCCCCGGCTGCACCGTGGTCGCCGTGGTCGTCAATAACACGCTTGCCCAACTCCATCTAGCTCACTAAGCGTGTACTCGCCGGCGGTGCAACTGACGCCGGTGCCGTTCGAGGAGCCCAGTGTAGGGCGCTACTGAGGGGCACCTATCTGCACGTCCCCCTAGTGCCAACCCAGTTCTCCCTTCACGTTGTGTTTTTACCTTCTCAAACGACTTGGTCCTGATCGCAAACATGACGAATCCGCCTCTTATCACAACAAGGGCAAAGCACGGCCGCCGCACCATCGCTCGCTCCGACGTCGTAAATGAGAAGTGTTCGTGCCGACACCAAACAGTGACCCGCACCCACTGTACCACCCCACCCTCGTGTACCGAAACAAATGCACAAGAGAACTGGGGGTGCTATACACAAACCTGTGGTCAATTTCAACGTTCATAGCATCGATCGGTGAATACATTTGGCACTACACACGACACCTTTTCTGCGAGCCGTTGTTTTTGAATTTCCTGGTGGTGCGTAGTGTACATTCATTTCGTGCATGAAGCGCCACAAATGCGACATGTCTCTTTCACCCAAGTTTGCACGGACCCTTGTATCCACGTCCGACTAGAACACAACATAAGCCTAAATTTAAGTGTTTACCATGATCTGCGACCCCATGGAGGGCGTTACAAAAAAGCCAGACCCTTGTTCGTTCTTCGGGGCCACCGGAGCTACTGTTCCCACGAGTACTCTTGACTCGTAATCACCTTCGCGGAGAGTTCTACGAGAGAAAAATAACAAAGCATCCACCACTACTCCATAGAATATTCGAGAGAAACATAATGAATTGTACTCCTACCACCGACCTCCACGAACACCCCCTTCATGCAAACATCATGTCGCAAGATCGCCTTTACATCTGCGTCCACCAGTATGCACCCCGAAGAAGACAATAGGGCCGCGTTACTTAGACACGTAGGTCTCAACCAGGTTCAGTGATACCCCTCGAGTAGGTGATGTAGTCGTCCGGGGGTACAGTACACCTTTTAGGGGGGGGGGGCGGAACACGACCGGTTTTGAGGTCTGATCTTCAAACAAATATTTAGAGCACCAGAAAATGCACACGACAAAACACAAGGCCAGTCGGGAGGCCTTGGGACAAGCATCGGGACAAACAGAAATCGTTGATTCTCGCACTGGAAAGCAATGAAGGCTGCTCATAACGTATATGTCACGAGTCTACATCCTCACGCCCGATTTGAAATCGATATATTCTACCTGGTTGCGATCTGCACACACGACGCCTTATGATAACAGCAGGTTGCGTTCCCCCAATTGAGTTCGAGAATTAAATATTATCGCGGGCTGTGTCCACGGTGTTTTCGTGCCGTGGTTCTTTCCCAACATCCCTCGGGAACGATCTCTGTTGTTGTTGTTGTTGTTGTTGTTGTTTCTCACATTACCTCTATAGTCCACAAAAAATGGGGAGCCCGTGGTCTCAAAACCCGGCACATACGACGCCGCGAGAAAACAAAAAAAACAAAAATAGGGTACAAACCACTCGGAAAAAGAAAACAAAGTGATAGAAAGAAAAGAACAGGTATCGCACCGACCGTTCGAGAAAAGAGCCCTCGGACACCGATCAAAATAAACCAAAACAAAAATAACAGAAAAATAAAGGAGGACGCTTCCCACACCCGCCGAAAGAAAAAATCAAAGGGTAACGTACCAGCACCAGGCACTGCGCACCAGGGCATGGGAGTAACGGAGCAAACTGTGTGTGTGCATCAATCTTTACAACCATTGAGACCGATTTAAATGCGAAACGGCAGATTCTCGCGTGGAAGATCTTCGTCAACGACTCCCCCCTGACAACAGGCCTTTGTATACACACGGTGTTGTTGTTGTTGTTGTTGTTGTTGTTGCGATTCATCAGGAATTTTCTTTGTGTGAGTGCTTCCATTCTTCCAACCATGTGGAAGAGTCAAAGAGCGGGAGAGAGAAACAGAGAGCGAGAGCAAGCGAGAGGGCGAGAGAGCGGAAGGATCTTGGTAGTACATATTTATCTTCGCTTGCCAAGTGTTTTTATGCACATCGTGGCACGGCTTTATCTATGTAAACAAGGAGGGATCAAGCGAGAGAGAAAGTGAGAGAGAGAGAAAGAGGGAGAGAGAGAGGAAGAGAGAGAGAGAGAGAGAGAGAGAGAGAGAGAGAGAGCGAGCTTTGCATACAGCTTCATTTTTTTCACGGATCTTCTCGGCCGACAGGTATCCTCCAGCAACGAGCTCGAGGACTATCATCGTCACGTGTCAACTGCATCAATGATGGCCGGGGGGCTTGGCGTGGCAGCCGCGCCAGCGTAGGACAGGTTGGTCTCGATGCTTCCGATTGCTGCGCCGCACGGCTGGGACAGGGAACCTTCGGTGAGCGCATTCAACTGCCGAGGGATGTGGGCCCCGGTGCGTAACAGGACACGTGATCCAGTGAGCCCATTTTCGTGAGTTTCGATACGGACTGGTTAGATCTACCGGCAACAACAGAGGGCACGCAGATGGGGCACATGTACACCTTGAAATGGTTGCATGTGCGGGGACCCCTCAAACTCCAAAGAGGGCTTCACTTCTCCCTACTCCCCTTGCGTGTCTAATACAAGAGATAAAACGTCTTCCCCTTCCAAGTAAAGGACATATACGAACACACTAGTGTCAGTCCCTCGAGGGAGAGTCCATTGGGAACGTCAGGTCGCAAAGGTGGGGGTGACTCCTCCAGCGACTCTGCGGCGGAAGACAGAAAGAGGTCAAGAGAAGAGCTCGTGGCCCTGAGGACGCAAGTTAGCTCGCTGACGGATCAGATGAGCCAGCTAATGCCGCTTGTGGAAGAAGCTATGAAGGCAACCAAGAACGAGGAGCCAGCTGGCACCATGCAGGGTGCCGCTGATCGCGGCGATGCTAAGGAGAGCGCCGCCGCGGAGTCCACGAACGCCGAAGGAGGGGTACCGTGGACCGGGAGTGCGCAGGACGGGAGGTACCTGCGCGAACCTGTTCGAGAGTCTGGCCCGTCAGGGCGACACAGCGGCGAAGCAGGGGACTTTGTCGCGCAAGAGGTGAGAGTAGCCGCTGCTCGCAACCAAGATTGTAGTAGTGCCATGGGAGATGGTGGTGCTGCTGTTGGCTTTGGATACGGAGCCACAACCCCAGCGATGGGGTACCAAAGTGTGCGATACACTTCTCCTCCGTTCAGCGAGAAATCGAAAGATTTCAACGAATGGCTAAATGATTTCCGCATGGCAGCTAATGGCGCAAACCTGTTGGAACGATTTGAAGAGAGCGGGAGCTTGGAGATCCCCGTCAACAGCGGCAGCAGTACCGGAGCGAGCAAGTAGAGCTCGCATTCCACACGTGGAACTTCCTGTCTCACGCGTTGAAAGAAAAAGATCGGAAAATCATGAAGAGGGCAGAGACGCCCCAGGGAGGTCTTCGTGAGCTCAAGACCATACACGACCCTGAATCATCTGTACAGCCGTCAGAGGACCTCAAGTCCCTGACGTCGACCAAGATCTCTAGAGGTGAAAACCCCCAAAACGCCCAAAATGAGATGCTCCAAACCGCAAAGTCTTTAACCGAAAAAGCACTAACTGTCAACGAAACGTTCGTCCTTCACCTCTTCCTGGATGCCCTTTCGGACGAGTATGCCATGACAAAGCACAACCTGCGACACGCGAAGGAGTTGACGCGGACCGGTGTGCTAAAGGAAGTAATGATCGAATACAAGGCGATCAAGGACAAGCTGGAGCAGGGGAAAGGAAAAGGGGCGAAGGGCGCAGAGCAAGCGCACTTCGCCGACGGTGAGGGCCGCAGGGAGCGGTACTCAAGTAGGAGTCAGGGGCAAGGTCGTGGTCGTGGCGGCGACCGTGGCCGCAGCAGCAGTCGTGGCCGCGGCGGCGGCGGTCGCGGCGGCCGCTCAGGCGGATCCGGAGGAGTTGAGGAGAGCAAGGGAAGCAGCAGTGGAGGCGCCGATGGCGGCGGTGGCGGGGACTATAAGTTCCCGGGCCGGTGCTTTAGGTGTGGACATCGTGGACATCAAGCGATCGGCTGCACTACCAACGATGAGGACTTCGTGCCGTGGTGTGCGCGCTGCGAGGGGTGGGGCCACACCAAAGAAAAGTGCGCGACGGAGGAGGCCGTCCTAGCGCAAGTGGTGGAGCATGAGAGCGACGTGGACTCCGTGGAAGACCAGGCGTTTTGTGCCGTGGCAGTCCCCCCAGGCGAGTGTGGTACCGTTGGTGAAGTAGGTCTAGTGGGGGTTGTGGAACTAGGCCAAGCGGTGTACGTGGCCGACACAGCGGCCCCGTGCTCCATGTTCCGATGTGCAGACAACTTCGTGAACTACCGTGAGCGTAGCGGTTGGGTGAAGGGGATCGGAGGCGACAAGGCCCCCGTTCCTCTTCTAGGATACGGAGATGTGACCTTAGTCCTACAGACGGAAGATGGTGGAGTACCCGTACCAGTACTGAATGCTGCCCATGTACCAGAGGCCCCCTACAACCTCCTCTCGCTGTCTTCGTTGGCGGAGGAGGGCCACACGTATTCGGGAATGAAGGGGGGCCTCACGCTGACCACGAAAGCCGGGGGGGAGGTGTGGTTCCCCCGGACTGGAAAGCTGCTGACCCAACGAGGCTATCAAATAAAGCCAACGCTACACACCGCCTGTGCCGCACTCATTGTTCCTGGCGATGCGAAAGCAGCCAACCCCACTGACCTCAACGAGTACCACCTCGCGCACGGCCATGCCCACGAGACATTGCTCAGGATCACGGCGGAGCAGCAGGGAGTGCAGCTGACGGATGGACCGCTGCTACCCTGTCTTGGCTGTTCGATGTCCAAGGGACAGGTGAAACCCGTCCAGAAGAGCACGAGCACACGCGCAGTTAAGAAGTTATTTCGCGTGTATCTCGACCTGGGGGTAAAGATTAAGANAACGCTACACACCGCCTGTGCCGCACTCATTGTTCCTGGCGATGCGAAATCAGCCAACGCCACTGACCTCAACGAGTACCACCTCGCGCACGGCCATGCCCACGAGACATTGCTCAGGATCACGGCGGAGCAGCAGGGAGTGCAGCTGACGGATGGACCGCTGCTACCCTGTCTTGGCTGTTCGATGTCCAAGGGACAGGTGAAACCCGTCCAGAAGAGCACGAGCACACGCGCAGTTAAGAAGTTATTTCGCGTGTATCTCGACTTGGGGGGAAATATGAAAACCAGGAGCATTGGTGGCAACTGGTACACACTGATCATCAGAGACGATTTCTCCCGTTGGACGCGTGTTTTCTTCTTGAAACACAAGTCTGACGCAGCGGTTGGGTTTGAGAAGTTCCTGGCGGACTACCGAACAAAAGGGGTTCCGTGTGAGGTTTAGATCGCACGTACCAACGATGGCGGCGAGTTTCAGGGGTAGTTTGCGGAAGTTGGCCGCAGACACGGCATCAAACAAGAATTCACCCCCTCTCACACCCCAAAATACAACGGTGTAGCGGAGAGAGCGCTAGGGTCGATCACTGATGCCGCGCTTGCGTCAGGAATCCAAGCGACGCAACTGTTCCCCGACGCACCGAACCACCCCGGGTTGTGGGCCCAGGCCATCTCGTGTGCATGCCATCAGCTGAACTGCGCCGCCACTAAATCAAACGAGGGAGACAAATCCGCCTACGAGATGTTCCACGACTCCCCACCGCCTGTCGGGTCTACATACCCGTTTCTCAAACCAGCCGTGTTCAAGTCGAGAAGAAAAGCAAAGTCGCAACCCAAGGGCGGAAAAGGATGGTACCTTGGTCGTGCCCACAATCACCCCCGTGACTGCGTTCGCATGCTAACCGAAGCTGGAACCGTAATCACCACCCGCAATTTCACCTGGCGCCACGTGCCCGCTGCATCGCCCGCTCCCACGCAGCTGCTATCTTTCGCAGATGACGAGGAGGGCGGGCAGGGCGAGAGCAGAGCGGATGCATCACGCCAAGGTTGGGGGGGGG